CAGCGGACTAACTTGCCGGGGACCGGGTCACCATCTGGGCGCTGTAGTCATTTATAACCAGCCTCAAGTCGGATAACGCGCGGCGAGAGACAGTCCCGCGCAGCCCTGGCGGCCGGCTCGGCTCCCCGCCAGGGCCGGGGCGGGGCGGGGGCCCTGGGGCGGGCCCTGCCGCAGTCCGCAGTCCGCACTGCGGGCCGCCCACCGCTGCTGCGCGGGGCCGACACCGAGCTCGCCCGCGCAGGCCGGCGTGCTTCAGGAGCACGCGGTGCTGGACAGCGCTGCGCGACGGAGAGCGCCGGGACCTCTCCGGAAAACCACCCGGCAGGAACCGCTGAGGTTGTGTGGGCAGCCGGGAACGCCTGGGTGACATACGCGAAGCAGGGACACCGGCTCGCAGTGTGGCCTGGGATAAAGCCCATCACCTCTCCAGGTCTCAGCTGTTTTCATTTGCAAAGCGACGATTTGTTCCAGATGCTCTCCAAGGACCCTCAGAGACCCGGTCTCCTGTAAATCAGTTGCCTGTAAATGCGATAGACGCCCACAGCACAGTGGTTCTCAGAGCAGCCTGGCCGCTAGAACCCTGCCGGGGGAGGAAAAATAGATTCCCAGGCCCGACTGTGGAGTTCTGATTCGGGAGGCCTGGGATAGTAGGGGAATGTGTATTTTCAGCATGCATCTTTGTTGGTTCTTCTGCACTAGTCAGAGGAAAAGAGTCTGAGAAACACTTGCATTGCGACAGCTCTCTGTCTGGATTTTCTTACCTCTCCACCGCTTCTCTGCCCTCACTCCCCTGCCCCATCTGTGCGACACACACACCAACATCCCTGTGTAGATATGACATTTATTCCCAAAACTTTTCAAGCACTCATTATGTTCCAGGCAGGCCTTGGTGTTCTCAGAGATAAACAATACATAAAACCAGGCAGCTGCTCTCAAACAGGCCCTAGTCTCTCAGGGGACACAGACAGCTAACCGCAACGTAGGGTGATAAGTGCCTCCAACAGGGGTGCGTGGCTGAGTGTGGTGGAAGCGCAGATGAGCAGGATCAGGCTGTGTGCGCACAAAATGGGGCAGATGGCTGCCACCCTTGGGCGGGAGTGTCGCTCTCCTGGGCCTGCTACACGGGGTTTTGCATGCAGTTTCCTCGGTGTCACGGACAGCTCTCCATCTGTGTGGCACGTAGCACACCTCCAAGGAGAGCAATAATCATTCTGCTTATTCATCAGGGAACCTCGGGGAACACCTGACTTGCTGAAAGAGCTTCCTCTGTCTATTCTTCTGCAACATCTCCCTGCTTTTTATCCCCTTCTCCTCCTCGTCTTCATTTTTTCCCAAGGTTTTCTCTCTCTTCTCACTTGCCCTCATCTTCCCATTTTGATGACCACCACTTTGAAAAAGAATCTATCTCTCTTTTCTCTAACTCTATTCCTTGATCCCATCTGCCAGATGCCACCTGTGATGAGGGTGGTTTGCAGTGACTGCCAGTGAGAGGGGTCCTTGAAGAGGTGGAGTTGGATTGTTTGTCACAACACATTATGGTGACGGCTTGACTCTAGCACAGAGACACTTGGGCTAGCTTGGTGCAGAGGTATTAGGACCAGCAAGGCTGGACAATAATTGAAGTCTCTACCACAACTGCAACCAAACAGCCTCAGCATTGGCCCAGCTCCTTTTGCCCAGAGATCTACATACAAGACTCCTTCATTGCTTGGCAAATGCTGAGTCTCCCATTTTTACTCCTATTGTTTTGTCTCCTCTCTCCTTTGCCAGCCCACTACTTGGGACCCTGTGCTCTGTTTTCATGGACCTAATATTTTAGACATTCATTCCCAATATTGTTCACCCTACAAACATCCATTTCTGAATCTCCACACCCTTCACTTTCATCCAAGAGGTCACCCTGATGGAGAACCCCTTCCAGGTCTTTCCATTCAAGCCCTCAATTTCTCAGGGGCCATACAAGTCCATGCATGTGATTGGAAGGCATAAAAATCCCTTCTATCTATCCTGAATTTTTTCTATCAAGCAAGGTGATTGTGTTATTCCCCTGAATGAACCTGATTCCCAAGTCATGCCGGTTTTCACCAAGGCTAGCCATATTTTATATGCCACATTCCCATCTCCACCAAGTAAGGTTTGGAATGAATATTTCTGCTGCTGCTTCAGCTCTAAGTGAAGTTTCTGATATGATTCCTATGCACATACCATCATGGTTCCCTCAGGTTGTTTTCCCTGGATCATGACTCACGTTTGGCTTTCCTGCTGGGACTACCCTAGAATGTGTTTTCTCACTTTGGTGATTCTTTTTCTCTGATTCTAAGGCCTATTTCCCCTAGTTAACCTATCAGATTTGATGTCTGATGCTTCAAACCAGAGGTCTCACCTAAGGCCAGGAGTATGCCCTCCCCCCACAGAACTCAGTGTACCCCACTACTGCAAACTCCCTCTGTTGTGCCCCATCATCACATTGGTGGACTCCTTGGATATAAAAGGTGATTCACATCTGGCTGCAGTTCCCTACTCCCCTTTCAATGCTATAATATGGACTATTGGACAATCTACTAGAGGAGTTAAACATTCCCATCAGTTCCCCAAGCCCGGGCCAAATCCAGCCCCTGCCTCCTTCTTTTACCGACTTACTCACTACATTTAGTTATTTATCATGACAACTCTTCAAAGTAACTATTAAATACTAGCATTCCCTCTTTGCAAGTGTCAAAGTTGAGGTTCACAAAGTTGAATAATTTGCTCATAGTAACTAGTGAGCCTGAGACTATAATACAAGTTCTCTTCCTCCTTTATCCAGGAGAGATTTTTCAGAACATTTGGGCTTTCAGATTTAGAGAAAGTGAGGATTTTTCGACATTCAAAGTAAAAATAAAAACTCTTTTCCTACTATTCCTTCCCAGGTGGATGGTCCTTGTCATCCTTTGTTTGGCCAAAGGAAGTTATAGAATTTTAAGGATGTTAAATATGCATGGCGGATGCTGTCAGTGCATATCCCCTTAGCACTCACTGGTTCTGTGCCTGCTGAGACTCTTTATTGCAAGCACCTGCATCTCCCTGCCTGAAGGCTTTCTCTGGCAGTGAAAACATGCTTGGGCCCCATATAGGAAGGGCTATAAATGCTAGGTAGTTAAGACCCAGAGAGAAGTTCCCAGTCAATGATGAATGGGAGTTTGGTGGTTAATGATCTCATCATTCTTCAAGTGAGATTACTCTGGAACACATGTCCTACACCATCTCCCAGAAGTTCCCAATGGGGTTGAGTATCAGTTTTTCACAGTGGTAAACTGGTCATCTCTAGACCTATATTGGCTTCTGTCTTTGTCCATTTTCTATTGCTTAGAATATCTGAAACTGGGTAATTTATAAAGAAAGGAATTTATTGCTTATAGGTATGGAGGCTGGGAAGTCCAAGGTCAAGGGGTCACATCTGGTGAGGGCCTTCTTCCTAGTGGGGACCCTCTGCAGAGTCTCAAGGCATCACATGAAGGGGCTGAATATGTGAGCTCAAGTCGCTCTTTGTCTTTTTATAAAGCTACCAGTTCCACTCCCATAATAACCCATCAATCATCAATCCATTAACCTATTAATCCATGAATGGATTAATCCATTCAGAAGGGCAGAGCCCTCATGACACAATCACCTCTTAAAGCCTCCACCTTTCAACATTGCCACATTGAGGATTAAATTTCAACATGCACTTTGGAGGCGTCAAATATTCAAACCATAACAGCTTCTTTCCCTATCTCACTTCTCCAGTCTCCTACTGGTGCTTCCTGGGTTCACCTCCCAAATTAACTACTTGCACTTGAATCCTAGTCTCAGGGTCTGCTTCTGGGGAAAGCCAGGCTAAGACAATTGGCTTGCAGCATTCGTGGTCATCTGACTGAGCCATCTCATGAATAAATTAAGTTCCAGGGAAAGAGGTGACCTGCACAGGGTCACACTTGGCAGAGTGGGGCTGGAGCCACACACGTCTCCACTCTTAGCCCAGCTCCCATTCCCTCATGGAATCCCCCTTGTGGAACCCAGAGCAGCTATTTCACTGGGAAGGCACCACCAGGAGTTGGTGGAACTGATTAGGACACAGAGTAAGGAGGGTAGGAAGGAAAAGAGTGAGTGAAGAAAAACCTACAGTCTGTAAATCTCATTATGATTTCTCCCTCTACTTTGGTTGTCAACAATTTCACACCACTCTGCCTATCTGGCCGGCTCTGGGCAGAAGCAATCTGCAGCCCTGACCCAGGTTAATTACACAGTTCTCCTGAGACTTGGGGACCAGAAAGGTTAAAATAAGCTTTGCATCCACACCGTGGAAGGCTGTTGTATGACCTTTTCCTGCAGCTGCTGGTGCTGCTGAGTGCTGGCCTTGGTGCTGAAACCTGAGTTGGGCAGCTGGTGGGCTGGGTTGGGCTGAGCTATACCAGGCTGCTGGAGGTGAGAGGCTCAGAACATCATCAGAGCAGGGCAGGAGCTTTGGAACCATTTATGTCAACCCCCTCATGGTAAAGGTGAAGGATGTGAGGCCCAGAGGGTGAATGGAATTGCTCAGTTGATGTGATTATACCTGCTATTTAAGATCAAATATAACTTGGCTTTGATTACTTGTGTCAATGGAAAAGAAGAAGCTCATAGAATTCCAAATAGCATGTAATACAAAATAATTTCTATTTTAAGTGTAGATTGAATTTGAAACCGTATTTGGGAGAGGGAAGGGGTTGCAGGTGTACTTTTGTAATCACATTGAGCCCTGCTAAACGAGGCAAGAGAGAAGAAGATGGAGGAGATAGGGAGAGAAGCCAGCCTAAGATTAAGAATGTCCTGTGGACAGTCTTCATGGGGTAAACTAAATGCCATTCTCCCAACTCAAACAAATGTATTTCCTTCATCCAATCTTTACAGTGTTGCCCTTCTCTCCTCTTCTCCCCTCTCTCCATGGCCTTAAGATCTAGCTCATATCTGCCACCTCCTTATGTAATCTTTAGCATACTTACCTCCTTATCAGTCTGCCACACACATCCTGAATCCTCCTCTTTGCTCACTATCTTCCCCTATACCTGTACTGCCAAGCCCTGGGGAGAAAAATCACATACTGAACTGGAACCAGAGTTTGGATCTCACACTTCATCTGGCCTCTTAACCCCTCTTGGGATTTGGATGTGGATAACCTCCTTTTCTATCTCTCTGTGGTGGCTGTGTTGACCTTCCTTAACTTCTGCAAAGGCCATTACATTTCCCCAGTTTCCTCCCAGCGGATGATGAGGCTTCCCTGTTCATCAGGAAGACCCAGGCTACTAGGCATGGGTTCCCTCCACCCCATGAAAAATTGGTCTGTTCTCACAATGGTCCATGCCTTCTTTCCTGCTCACATAAAGGAGGAAGTGCCCCTTCTTCTGCCCAAGGATAACCCTGATATTCCCAAAGTAGAGCCTTTGTTCTTCTATCTCTGTGAGGAATTGTTCTGTCAATAATCCACACTCTCCCTTACCTACTTCTCCATCCCACTGACTCACGCCCCTCAGCATAAAAGCAAGGTTAAGTTTCTGGACCCTTAGGAAGGGTTCTTCCTAGATAATCTTCTCCTCTCTCACAGCCATTTAAAAGGCACATTTTCTTTAAAAATAAAAAAAGCAGCCTACACTTCTTACCCTCATGTGCTCTCCCCCATTTATCCCTCAAGTCATGGCATTGGGGGCTCTACTATGACCCAATCACTCCATTGAAACTGCCTCTGCCGAGGACACCAGTGACCTACCTCATAATTGCCACAACCAGTGAAACCCATCACCTTGCCCCCACAATCCTTTTCTTACTTAGTTTCTTTTATGTTTTTGAGTACTTTAAAAATAATCCTCCTTCCATGATTTTTGTGACAGCACTGGCTTTTTTTTTCTACCTCTGGGATCACACATTCTCAGCCTCTGGAGCTGTCCTTAAAGTGTTGGTGTTTCCTGGTATCCCGCCCTTCACCATCTTCTCTTCTCATCCTGTGCCTGGGCCAACCTTCCCATGCTCCTGGGTTCATTCTTGAGTTAATTGCTCCCAACGACCTGTCCCAGCTGAGCCCTGTCATCTGAAGCTAAAGGCATATTGAACACCCCCATTGGATACCCACAGGCACCTCAAATTCATGCCGCCCTCCACAGAAATGATCACCCTTTCTCCCAAGGCTGGTTTTCTTCTCTTATTTCCTACAGCTAAGAACTTTGGTTAGCCTAGACTCCACCTCCATCCCCACCTTCCTCAATCCTTCCTATACCACTATTCCATAGTACAGGAATCCATATTTCATAGTATAGATCCATGTGGAGCTGTAGTTTCCTCAGTGTCTAGTCTCATAGCCACCCAACATACCCTCATTTAATTGCTGGTTAAGCCTTTTCGTTTGATTTTTAGGTGTTAGATGCATGTGTTTGTATGTGTGTGCACGTGTCTGTCAATCTGTCTCTGTTTGATTCTTAGTAAAATACAATTTTAGGCAGGAAGAGGGCATGTTATTTTTTGTCATTTACACCTTAGTATGAATGACTTTTCTGATACAGTAGGGGACGCAGGGAGAAAGCCTGAGTGCCTTCCATGATAGCTAAATGGAGAACAAAGAGGCACTCCCAGGCACAGAACCAGGCAGCTGGAGCACTCGAGTCAAACTCCACTGGCTTCCCAATTTTCTCCCAGACTTGGCATGCAGTGCACACTAGCTTCAAATTACAAGAAGCTTGTTATTGCTTCACATCCATCTCGGGACTGACCCATCTGTGTCTGGCTCACATCGACTGTTGCTCTTGGGAAGATCTGAAGATTTAAGACAGAGTTGTCTGGTCTATAAATATAAGCTATATTTCTCTCTCTCTCTCTCTCTCTCTCTCTCTCTCTCCCTCCCCTCCTCCTCTCTCTCTCCCCCCCTCCCCCTCTCTCTTTCTCCTTTGCTTTCTTTCTTGCTTTCACTTAGCTAGAATGTAATTAAATTTGAATTGCGGCCAAAACTGATTTGTGAGACAAGCATTTGGTTAGTGATATCGAGCCAACCAGGTGAAAAAAAACCTCAGCAAAACTTCAAAAAGGCCAATAATCACATTGTGATTGAAATTCAGTCCCTCTCTTCTCATCCCCTCTCCTATTAACTTGGACAAGAGCTGGAATCCCTCTTGGGACCCTGGGCTCGTCGTGTTTCGCAGATGGGTCTAGGCATGCACGTGCAAACGGCAGAGAGGGGAGAGCCGTGGCACTCCCTGACCACAGTTGAGGATGTCTGGTTGGATGAACAGATTCCGAGAGATTAGAAAGGGGCTGGCATGAACAGAGGGGGTGGGGATGGAGGAAACGATACAGGGAAGACGAAGGGGCAGGAATAAAGGTATCGGATGTCTAGGGCATCAGATCCTGGAATCTGAGATGAGAACATAAGACAAAAAATCAGAGTAAGAGTAAGAGGGAAGGTCTTTGGGGATCACTCAATCATGAAACAAGAGATGCTTTAAGACTGGAAATGACTTCAGATGGCAGTGATTTTAACACCTCTTCTCCATTTTACTGACATGGAAACTGAGGCCTGAGAAGGGAATAGACGTACTTGAGGGCGCCTAGTAGAATTCAATTAATCAACAAATACTGATGCGCCCTGTGCTGTGCCTGATTCTCTGGGCTTCCGAGGAGCGCTGCAGTACAGTTCCTGCTCGCCAGCGAGTGGGCACCTGGGAGGCGATGAACACACTCTTCCCAGCAGCCTGCACCCTCAGCATTCTGCGATCTGCAGCACACCTGCGCTGAGTTAGCTGTGACCCTGGCCCTTCCTCTCCCAGATTGTCCAGCATCAGTTTTGGGGAGTTCACTGAGGGGGCTGGAGATAGGCAGGAGTGTGCAGTGTGTGTGTGTGTGTGTGTGTGTGTGTGTGTGTGTGTGTGTACTCGTGCCTGCAGGCTGGGCAACCAGGAGCCCACTGGCCAGCTCTCATCACCTTCCAATACCAGAGAGAAGAGTCTGTTGGGTACTCACTCTATTCTCCATGATTCTACTGCCTTTCTTGGCATGGCCAGCTCTTCATGCCTGTCCTATGTGGACATGTCAGGTAATTCTCCACTTGGCATTCATGGGCTATCTGTAGGTCCTACAAGGCAGGAATGGTGCTAGTACTTCCCTCAGATCCCTGATGTTCCCAGTTAAGCACATACATTATCTATACAACTGTGTTGGATGGACAAATGGATGGATGGATAGATGGATAGATAAAAATTGGGCAGGTGAATTAAGAAAATGATACCCAGAGAAGTGAAATAACCCACCCAAGGTCACACAGATAGTTTGGGGCAGGGTTGAGACTGAAATGCAGGACTTTGACTCCCAGCTCAGCGTTCTGCACAGCCTTCAAAGCACTGAGGAAAGGCCTTGGAAGGCAGAGGTGGACCTTGGGATGGCCCAGAGAATGACTAGCTTTTTGGTTAAAGCTGGTTAACCCCCCCCTCACATGAAGTCTCTTAGTACTTTAACAAAAAGCATCAGATTGAGAGTCCACAGTTCTGGGCTCCAGTTTTGGCCCTGATGTTGAGTGTACAAGTCACAGCTCCATCCTCTTTGAGCCTCAGTTTCCTTATTTGTAGAACAGGTGTCACATTTGGCTGTATGACATGTAAAGGTTGCTAAACCCTGATGTTTCAAGATGTCATCATTCTAGATGCCAATGAATACCCAAGTCCCATTAATCCATTTAGTCAATACACAATACTATTGATAATGAAAATAATAATTATGATTATTAATATGATATTTTCCAGCTGGATGAGAGATGTTTGGCTGGGAGGCTCTTCCTCCCTGTTGCTATTTGGGGACTTCAGAGCTAAATATAGCCAGTGACAGGCATTCCAAACACCATCATCTCAAATTAGGAAACACATTTGCACCTCCTATCAACAGTCCTGTGGCAGACACTCGGATGATGCTGACAAAGATGCAGGAAGACTGCTTCCTCCCATGAAAAAAATCCATGTCTGCCTCCTGGAAAAAAATAGCCCAGAGCTTCTCTGGAAGGAGCTGATGGTGGGGCAAGTGTGGCATAGGGATATGTGGAAGGATGGACCCTAGCACTCAGCAGGGCTGGCATATACAATCACTACTATTTATTGAGCACCTGCTATGTCCCAGGCTGTGTGCTTAGCAATTTACATATGTTATTTCTAGTCTTCATGGCAACCTTGAAAAATAGTCTCTCAAGGCCACACAGTTCTAAGTAACAGAGGAGAGATATGAGATGAGCCTGTGGCCATCTCGCCCCAAGGCTCATGTATGGTCCTGTCTCTCCCTTTCCCTCCCTCCCTCCTTCCTGGGACACCAGTGGCTGCCAGCCATGTTTCTGACCCTGTGCTAAGCAGACAAAGATAAATAACTCATGGCCCTTGTCCTCAAAGACCTCCTAGTCAATGCTTAACTGATAACATCAACTACGATGAAAATACAGCATGACATGAACAATGATAAAAATAAATACAAGGTCAAGTGGAAACTAGACTGGGGTGGCATGAAAAACTTCAGAAGGGAAGCAAGGTTTGAGTCAAAATGCAGAGTGACGAGCATTTGACAAGCCATCAAGGCACGGGATGGGAATCTGGCTGAGGGACAGGCGTGGGCAAAGGCGTGGAGCGTGGAGAGAGCAGGCTGGATCCGGGGAGCAGCCGTGGGCGCAGGATGGAGCTTCGCACCCTGCATCACCCATCTCTACCCCCAACGTTGGTGGCACTATTAGCAAGCCAAGAACCATTTCAAGGGACCCCAAATTAAGAATTTCTGTCCTTCCTGCCTCACAAAATGTGGGAAGCATTGGGCCCTATCCCTGGGAGCCTCAAATCCCAGGTGCAGAACCCTGCATGGTGCCTGAGGCCGGAATAAGCTGAGGAAACCCTGCCCACTCTGCTTGGCCTCCCGGACACCCTCTGCAACCCTGGCGTCTGGGCTGGACAGGGTCTCCAGGGAGTTGAAGCTTTTCCAGTTGAAATCGACTGCTACCTTTGGCTCTTAGAGCCTTCCTGCTGAGCAGGGGGACTAGAGAGGTGGATGCCAGTATCTTACTGTGCAGCGTCAATTCCTTCCTCCTCCTCCCCCTCCTCCTCCTCCTCTTCCTCGGCTACCATCTTCCTACACCTTCCTCCAGACCTTGCTTTGTGCCCCATCGGTTCTCCTCCCCTCTGGGTATGTCCTTTCTTCCTTCTTTTGCCTGGCTCCCCCCAGCCCTCCCTGCCTCCCCCTGCCCGACCTGTCTTCTGCATCGCTCCTCATTCCTCCTCAGTACTTCTCCCTCCAGCCTTAGCTTCACAATGTCAGAAAATATAAACAAGCCACTTTTTATGCTTTGTTTCCAAACCCAAGCCAATAAAATGCTCCTTTCATTTCAGGAGAAGGGAAAGCAATCACTCAGGCATTAGCAGGGAGCACAACACGCTTATCTGTAGTCTTCGGTGGGGGGCTCCGTGGGGGCCAGCTCCTCCCACGGCCCTGGCTCCCAGAGCAGCAGCCAGGGCTAAGACTCAGGAACAGCCCTCGGGGGAGCGGAAGCAGCAGGTCCCCCCAGGCTGACAGGCCTGACATCATGCTCCTTGCCTGTCCCAGCTGTCCCCTCCCTTGGGGTGTGTCTGTGTCTCACCCCTTGGCCAG